CGCCCTTGCAGGTGATAATCCAGCCAAACCCGCCGATGCTACAGTGGTTCACAAACATAACTCTCATTTCCACCTTGCAGATAGTCTGATGTTTCTGTAGATGTACCATGATTCTGTTGTAAGATTTGAAGATTGCAACTCATCAAAAAAGTAGAGAAAAAAAGGCAAACCAACACTATTCTTCTCTGACGCTGAAATTTCAACTTATGCAAGAAAATACAAATTTTTACTAGTTGGAAAGTTCTAATTAGGTCGTCCTAAGATAGAGGTTATCAGGAAGATTTTTGAAGATTTCAAACTAGTTGAGGCTTGACAGGTGAGTCTTTTCGACGGAAGACGTGTTATGATATAGCTGAGCATCGAAGAAAATTACACAATGATTTTCTTAAAGAAATTCATCACAATCGAGGAAAATCATATGAAATTGCTCAAATGGACCACTGATTTTGATCCCAGTTAAGAATCCTCAATTGCGCTTATCTGATTCTCATTACCTAACTCAAGCTTTAATTCTTTGACTTACCTATCTTATATGCAATTGAGACTATCCTTGGAGAACCTTTGCGGGTAGACACACCTACAGTTGATTTCTCAATGCCCTCTATTGCAAGGATTTTGATTGAAAGGGATATTAAACTATCAAATGTAGAAGAAGTCTGTTTTAGCTCTGCTCACAATGGATATTGGCAGAAAATTGTTATAGAACAAAAACCTCACTACTGCAAACACTGCAAGATGTTTGGACACTCGCAAGAGAAATGTTTCAGATTGCACCCACAAAACTAATAGCCAAAAGCAGGAACATGTTGTTAGTGCACCTGAACGCGCTCCCAGCAAACCTGATGACAGCCAACCTGAGGGATTCACCACAAGAATGATGTCAGCCCTTAGGAACCCTTCTCTTGACCATATTATAAAGGATAATGTTCAGACCAAAAATCAGGATAGCCCCGCAGCTACTATTCAAGAAGCATCAAGTGCAGAGGTGACAATTCACACTTCAAATACACTGGAACCTATCACTGTGGCAACAAATGTCTTTCCTTCTACTGTTGTTCTAATATCTAATCAGACTGAGGATCACATCCAGTATTCAGATGAAGAATGATAGTTTACACTTCTCGGGGAAAAAGAAGGATGGGGGCACACTCTTTGGAAACTTAATGGATGATACTTTGGTTACTCCTGGCAATGAAACGACACTTCAAAGTTTGTTATCTGACTCCGCTCCTAAAACTAGAGGAAGAGGAAGGACTAAATTGACTCGTCCCTAATTACTTTTTTTCTTTTTTTTCATGTTTTAAATTTCTTGAGTCTCTCTATATCCTTTTGTTGGGGTAGTATTGTACTTGGTATCGTATGGTTAGGATGTCTCTATTGGGCCCTCTCATACAACCTTTATGTATCCTTTCTGTTTCAATAAAATCAGCCCTTGGGATTTTCAAAAAAAATTGTAGTGTGTGCTAGTTTAGAGGGGGTTTTTTATTGTTTCTAATTTTAGATTGAGGTCTCTAAGGTGTTTTCCATTTTGAGGGTTGTATCTAAAGACGGGAAGGTGCTCCGATTGTAACTCGTCTAAAATAACGACTGTCCCCAAAGGAACGAGTGGTGCTTCGACTATATTTCGATCCTGCAAGGATATTTATCCTTACACAACTTCTCTGCAACCTTTCCAACCATCCCCTCGCTTCCGCAGTCCCCGACAACCCTCTCCTCTACAGTGTCGCAGTCCATGGACAACCCTTCCCTCTACTTCCCGCAATCCACTGCCCTTCCCGTTAAATTATTCAGATGTAAGATTTAGTTTAACAGTGCACCCACCACAGATGTTTAAGCAAGAGGGACGAACCCTGGCCTTGAAACTTGTCTTAGGAGCTTGGTGTGGGAAGAAATTCTTCAGTAGGATAGAGGTCCTACTAGTGAAAAAAAGGTCTCTCCTGAGTGGTTGTTAGCGAAAGTGGTGCAGCTTGCCACATATTTTACCCTAGAGTTGCTTTCTCCTCATATATTGATTTATCAGCTACATTTCGTTGAGTAAGATAAGTGGAAGACGAAGATTTCAAACTTAAAGGCTCAAAAGTTACATCACGGGAACCTACATATATATGTGGCTCCAGCTTATGATGTGCCAAGAGAGGATGCATATTTTTTCTATCAATATGTACTGTGAAATAAAAACACCTATATGATCAACCTCCTAGGGAGTTGCAATATCTTCGCTACCATCAACATGATAGACTTGATTCTAGGCTACAGAATCAAAAGCTTCGATGAATAAAGCCGAAGCTCACCCAACCTGAGAGATTGGCGCAGGAGCTTAACTGGGTCGCAGTACAATAGCTGTTACAGTATCGCGGA